TGGTCGAGTGAAGTTATTGCAAGGGCAACTAGACTAAATATTACTGTTGACGCATCTAGGTAGTTCATTGTGACGCACAAAGCAGCAATATCACAATCATTACCATCAATACGATAGGTTGAGGTGAAATTTTTATGACATTCGAATTTTTATTGCCTTTGACACACCCACCTATCCCCCTATCCAAGCGTTGGTAAATGGTCATTGTGGATGCCACTATTTTCTCAATGGCCGCCATCTTGGTTGACACAACACGTGAAGTCACGTTGAAGTGTCAATCAAGATGGCAGCTAAAAAAGTAGTGCAAAACACGTGTTTTTAAAAACCCTAACCTTAACCCTATATCTATCCCGAGCAAATTTTTTTTACAAAATCAACGAAATTTCAATTATTTGTTACTCACTCCTTATGCATCAGAATCTTGTATTTGGGGAGGATACGCAATTTTTATAGCATTTAAAAAATCTCTCATTTAAACTCTATTACCACATATATTCAAATAGATATGAGTTGAACTGCTCCTCCCCAGGACAGGTTCTTGTGGGCAGAGATCGTTTAATTGCACTCCAGGTGCCCTCTATGGTGTTGGTGTGCGTGCCCGTTTCAGAGTGTTTGAACTCAATTGTATGGTTCACCCTCAGGTGGTGAAACCCTACAGTTGTAAGACCTCCAACAATCAGAGATTATTGTGGTTCCTGGCTGCACTAATTCTTTAATTATTGCCAGGAGGACGTCTTTACCGCGGTTCTCAACAACATTGCAAAAGGTTTTGTTTGATCCTCTTTCAATCCCACCAAACACCTATTTTCCTTCTACCCGTTTGCCTCTATGATACTTCCGCTTGCCGAATTTGGATTCATCTATCTCCACAATTATACCCACTCCTCCTAAACTCTCACCCATCACAACACATGCTTCCACGCAGACCTCGCCACAAAAGCTGACCCAGTCTTTTACGGTACCCCGACAAATGCTTACTTCTTTCGCAATATGTCCCAACGGCATTTTTCTTAACCAAAAATGTGTCAATAACATAATGTCACACGTCAATCTACTGTCACTAAAACACGACCCCTTCCTTAAACTACGCACAATATTGCCATGACTTTTGTCACCACATTGCCATGCAAACCCATCTGAAGCATTTGCCCATGCACACAATTTCATACCCTTCTAACAATGGGGACATTCGTATCTATCTGCAATGAGACCGGTACTCATGAGCCAATCTATCACGCTCCTTGCGCCCTGACTTTCCAGATGATTCCAAAAATGGGCGGAAAATTCAGGCTCCATCTGCATAAATTTACCCAATATTTATCTAACTAAAACTGCTGACGATGCAAGAAAAAAAATATAAAAAATTTTGAACTTACCGGGCACCCAGTCAAGCAATCAAGAATAGCAACAGACGTAATATTTAAGCACTCCTTTCTATATCCACATCATTATAAAGTACCCGAAAAAAAAAAAAAATTTCTCACCATTTTGTCAAAAAAGAACATAAAATTTTATGTCTATATTTAAAAATTATATTTCTTTTTTTCATTTATTATGAAAATAAAAACCCAAAAGAAACAAATACAATATAATATTAAACATTCCTAGGGCGAATTAATACTAATACATAAAAATATTAGTTATCTGAAAATAAACAAAGGGAAGTGACTCCCACATGTAAACACCTAAAAAGACGTTGTGGCATCCCCAACTACCATTAGCCCCACACAGTCACCAGTAGGTTATCGTACTCCCCAATTGCCTACGAACCCTTCCTTTCAATTTCAATGTTTCATTGGAGATATGGTCCCTATAGCAGATGCAAAAAATGCTTCTGAAGTCTGAAGCATCTCATCTCCATCACCTTTGGCTTTATTTTCCTTTCAAGTTCGGCTGTTAATGTCCAGGATTCGCAGGCATACAGGAAAATGGAGAGGACTAATGACACTGATTAGCATGAATGTTATAAAAATCATAAAAAACATCTAAAAATAGTAGCCTACATTATATGCCAAAATCGTAAGAGTTAACAGGTCTGATGCAATAATCCACCCCCACCCCACATGTGAATTATGTGCCAGCCTCCTAGCACGCCAAAATTAGGAAAAGTAAAGTACTGTAAAGGGTAAAGTAAAAGTTAAAAGTAAAGCAACATTGAACAATATAAAAACATGTGGTAAGGTAAAATTAAGGCCAAGGCTTAAGGCTTAAGGCAATGAAATTTAAGCGCGATTAATTATTTCTAGTGATATAAAATTAAAACTTCCTCTTTACCTGATGGAACTAAAGGCCTAAAATAGCGTCTTTTTGTTCATGTACAATAACCATTTAACAAAATTGAACAAGATAAAAAAAACAAAATTGAAAAAGGTAAAAAAAAAAGTAGCCTTCAGTTCATGAATCCTTTGTCATTTACGACGCCATTGTGGTGGGGGGGGGGGGAACAAGGATAACTCTTCTTTCTTCAAAGATACGTTATAAAAGTTGCCCAATTGGATATATTTAGATTTAAATAATTTTTTTTAAATTTTATAGATCTATCTACTTTGTCTAATATTTCTTTCTAGCCCACTGGATCCATGCACATCAATGTAAAGGTGGTACTCGCAAGGCACCTCAATATCAGGGGTGCCTACAGTTCATGAAATTTTTTGTCATTTATGACGCCATTTACATTCGCCCAGGGCGCTGCTTTTCCTTTTCACGTTTGTGCATCCATTACGGACGTAACGCGGCTAGAATTTTGAGGGTGGGGGTTATGTGGGAAATATTTGTTAAAACTTTAAATAAAATTGTCAATTTCTTTTCTTAAAATTTGTAACAGTTTCGATTTCTTTCTCAATAAATAACTGGTGATTTACTAAGACTAAGAGGCAAAAAGCGGGAAAGTAATGAAATATATGTCAGTCGCGAAATAAACACCATTGCAAATAGATGACTCACAAAGCAATTTGGTTCCATCCAGATACATAAAATCACTAACACTGCCTCTCATTTTACTCACCACAAACCAGAGTCAACTTAGGCTGTGGCATCTAAATAATTAAGTGCCATCTATCAAACTAGAGCTGACCAACCACAGACCATTTAAATAGCTTATTAGCCTACTATGACTCACAAATGTCGAGAAAAAGTCAATCCACTTGCATAGGAAGGGGGCTGTGGAGGGGGTGGTCCACACAGGTGCCACTTTTTTAAAAATTTATATTGAGGGGCGGCATTTTTGTCTTTCTGTTTGTGTATGGTTTGTATGTACTATATTTTTTTCAATGGCTCTATTTATTTAGGGTTATCAGTATTTTATTTTCAATGTGGCATGGCTTAGTTGCCTTGAAACCAAACTCCCTTCACAGATCACATACATTTGCTCCCACTCAATCATTACATCTTTACTTAAATGAAGAAATGATACAAACAATAGTTAACAATACGGGTACCAACAAGGAATGTGAGAAAGTAAAAGGAGACAAATGGCAAAGGAATGATGTGACCTAATTGAATGAGTTTATTGGCTGCCTACTCCTTACTGGCCCCTAATTTATTTTATGGATTACTTGAGTACACAACTCAAATAATAAACAACCAAAAAAAAAAATGTTCTCAAGTCAGTTAAGGGGTTTTTTTTCGATTAAATTTTAAATTATGTACAAGTGTGTTAGACCCAGTAGACAGATATGGTTAAAAAAAAAGACGAGTCCTCCAAAAATTAGTCTCTTTCTCATGCTTTATAAAATGGCATCCTTTAACTTTAAGGTGTTAATTGCAACTGCCTTGTGAATTAGGTCAAGTCAAATGAGAAAAGTTGTAGAAAGGAGAATCGAGATATCAGGAAAAACAGTCAGTAGCCGCATGTATGACTCCCAGTGCCAAGGAAAAAGTTTAAAATTGGTGGTTTTGATTAGACTAAGCCAAGCTCTCTAGAGGAATAGTTGAAATTAATTCATTATGAATGAAATTTTCATTATTTAGAATACCTACTTAATTCATAAAGTACTGTGTGATTAAATCTTTTACCTTAAACAATACACATAAATAATCTTAAATAAAGGATTTAATTTTAATAATTAAATTAATATTATTACTTTTCTAAAATTCAAATGAAAACAATAAATGTATCTAAATCATCTTCATTACTAGATTTTTAAAAAAAATGATCTACGAAAATGACTTAAACTAAAAAAGAAAATAAGAAAGAAAAAAAAATCTACCCGTCCTAAGAGAAATTAACAAAGCAAAAATAAAAAAAAATAATAAAAAGATAAAACTATGAATCTATGAATTAACAACGAGAAAAAACAAAATTTAAAAAAATTATTCTCATGCTATTATTGTTATCACACTCGGCTCCGAAGCCATTTAATCTGTATGGAGCCACTCCGGGTGCGAATAGTCATTGGCGGTTATAGGTGCCCGGGTACCTATAGATGCAGCCTTACTATAATAAACTAAGGGAATTTAAATATTTACTAGGCGCCCATATGGCCATGGCGCCCTGTGCTAGGGCACAGGTTGCACACCCTAAAGGCCGGCGTTGTACTAACTCATAAAATTTTAATGAATGTTCGTTACTTTGTAAGTATTCTAATTTGAAACGTTCCTGTATTTATTATTTTATGGAAGTTGTAACTTAAATTAATTTTTAAGACACTAGTTTCAGACATCAGACAGCATTTCATTTTTAAACCCACGCTAAATCGGTAACTATTCCTCCAACTTTATTATACTTGTGCGTGTATGTGATAAATAAAGCATGCACTTTTGATTTAATTATAAATTGTAATTTTTTTTAATGAACTCGAAATTTTAGAATAAAAAGGAACGATATGTAACGCGAAGTTATAATTTTATTATACTGTATCTAGCGAAAATTAGAACATGTTTCAGGTTTCTATCTTTTTACACGAGAGGGCTTTTAGGCCTAAATATAGACTGTTGTCATATGACAACAAGGTCACATGACTATTTATGCGGAAGTTAACTTTCAACATGTCACAAATCGTTGAGGGGATCGATTTTTACCCCTTAATACGTTTTTAACTGATTGACAAATAATTATTTACAATATTTATAACCTTCTTGATTACTCGAAATGCCGGGGGATTTTTTTACTAAAAAAATGTCATGGGGGGACTGGCTGTGGAAAGTTGTTTCCGATTCAAACATGAAAGCCTATTCCAGCTTGCAAAAAATGGGGATACTTTTAATTATAATTATATTCATTTCTTGGCTTATTTCGCTGTGGATTTTACCAATATTTTTTATTGCTGGAGTAATTGCTGGCGTGAAAGTGTCTGACCAAATTTTACATCGCGAGAAATCATCAGCATTAGCAGAGCAACTGTTTTTTATACTTGAGTCAGCTTACATCGAATTATGTACAATATACCAAATTATAAAAACACACATATTTGATGTGCAAGAAGTTGATACTGTTTCTACCTCATCATTGCAAGTTATTGATGATTTAAGTGCCATTTATGATAATGAAGGAGATAAAACTATAAATAGTGCTGTCAAAATCCCTAATGCTGTATGGTCTGAAATGAATTCAATACAGCTTTTAATAATTCGGGATTTCATAGGTTCATGGTATGGAGATTTTTCATATGATACCCAATTTCTTAAAGACATAAAACACTTGCTTCAGCATGCATTTAACAATTTGGCACTTCATATATCACAACAGGATTCTAAACTTATCATATGTAAAATAGTTCATCTGTATCAACAACATTTTACCTTACATACAAGTGCCATGAACTCATTTAAAAGTCATCAACTTCCCTCTCAAATTAAAGTGCCATCCAATGACAATTTCAAAAGGCATTTGTCTGTTAATGATGCATTTGGCAGTTTGACCCATTTTCACTGTGCTCTTGGGTCAGATGTAAATGAACTCAATCATCTAAGAGGAATAGTTTCCATTTTGGTGTTGTCTGTTGTCAGTGCTCATGTAGTTGAGACCCAGTGCACAAGGACATTGTTAGTAGAAATTCTCTCAACAAATGTCTTGCTTCCAATTATGCAGCGAATTGCTAATCCTGATTGGATAATGGAAGTGATTATTCAATTGACATCAGATGAAAACATTGTGAGTGATTCCTTCGACTGTGATGAAAACAGTAAGGGGACTGATACTACTGTTGGTGCAGAGAGAGAATGTTTTTCAGAAGAATTGAATTTTAGTACCCCTGTTTCCAAAGAGGAGCTAAGTTCTAAATTAAATGAAAATTTGATCAATACTATAATGGATTGTTTAAAAGCTGACAAGCCAAACAGTCCAATGGTAACAGATAGCAACATATCTGAGATGGAGCAAACAGAGAAAGAAATGCATCACCATACCTTATGCTCTACTGATCATCAAATGGTAACTTTTCATGAAGATGTTGAATTCACTCATCATATACTGAAACCAGATTCACATCTTATGTCAACAGATGCTCACAAAGTAAACGAAGAACTTCTTTCTGATATAGCATGGGAAGAAGCTCTCATGGACTCTGAAGCCATTGTTAGTGAAGAGACTCGGGAGAAGGTTCTTTTTGACCTACCTTTATTTACAAGTGGTGACAATGCTGAAAGTATTAGCAAATCTCAAATTAATGATAGTTGTTTTGATAATGACCCCCAAGGTATTATTTCTTTTAATAATCGAAGCTCATCTGACTCCTTTATAAGTGCTCATTCAGTTATGGCTGATAGCTCGGAACAAAGTAGATTGTCATTTTCATCGGATTCGTCAAGTAGCTCTGATATTATGTCCAGTTCCATCACAAAATTTGCATCATTTAAAAATTTTTTCATGGATTCTTTGAGTGGGAAACATATTATTAAAAAACCAAAAACCTTAGATCTTTTTCCTGAGAAGAAAACATCCAATTTCAATCCTTTTAAATTTAAATCGAAACATGATGCTTACTGCTCAAATGATAATACTCAAAAACCGCCTCAGCTCATGATAGATGGAGTTCCAATAGAATCCAGCGATTCAGCATTTAAAAGAAAAGATAGCTGCTCTCCTACTTATAGTGACAGCGAATTAACACCAAGCCCCAGTTTTCTATCTTCAATGAACAATTTTCTTCACTTTTCATCATCTCATCCTGATTTGATAAGCCCTCAAGGCAGCTTGGAAAATGTAGGTAATTCACCCGAACCTACCCCATCGCCAACAACATTCAATGAATTTAATGGAGGTGATATTGCAACAGCAAAGGAGCAGGACTTACAAAGGCCGCACCTTTCTGATGACATGCGAATATTTCAAGATGTTGCCATTCCCAGTACGAGGATAAATACAGAATTTAGGAGTTCCTCTCAATACTCACTCTATATAATTGAGGTAAAACATGCCAGGCTAATTATTTTTCTGGCTTTGTACAAACATAATTTATTTCTTTATTGTTTTTTCTTATAAGTTGATGTATGGGGGTAGATGATATAAAAATCTCATAGTCAATACATTCACATCTGTAATGGACATAATAGAATATGTCCTGATACTTAAACAAATTTTAGGGAGTTATAATTAAAAGTTTTTTTTTTTTTTTTTTTTGTTAATTTTTTTAATTAATCATCCTTTTCTATAATTAATATGAATGACTTTCAAAAAGTTGGAAATGCAAGTTGATGTTTATAGCACTGGTAAAGAAACCTGTTTATTGCACTTAATCTTTAATCAAAGATATAACTACAGTCTAAAAAATCAACTCAAAGGCAGGGGTTATTAGATGTTATGGTTATTAGATCAAGTAGGGGTTATTTTCTGAAACATTCAATTTGACGGAAACATAATTTTTGACCGATACATAATTTACAGGCTTTAATCTTTTGGAATTTTCAAAATGTTTTGTTGAGTTTAAGATATTTTTATTCTTTTTAACACATATTTTAAGTATAAGGTTTTTAAATTTTTAAATCTGCTCTAAAACAGGTCATTTCATTGTTTTTTTTTTTATCAACAGTATGAAGCTCTCTATTTTACTGATGAGGGTAAATCTGTGATACGATCAGGTGAGGTCATGAGAAGATACAGGGAATTCACCAACCTCCACTCAAGACTTGAGCGACATCAGGCCTATAAAAAATACCTTAAAAGTAAGTGTTGAGGATTATTGGAATATGGAGGGGGGGGTGGGGGAGTTGCCATCATCGAGGTCAGTGACTATGGTCAGGGAACATGCCTGTCAGTTACTAAAATATTTTAAATAAAATTATTTCATAGTTATAGTTTATGCCATACTAATATCAGGAAACTTCTTGTTTTTATGTCTTAGGTCAGGTGTGGGCAAACTACGGCCCACAGGCCGCATGCGGCCTGGCAACTGATATTATGCGGCCCTCTGTGGCATTTTAGAAATTTAAAAATTTAAAAAATTACTTTGTTTTAAAATATTTTGTTGAATTTTACAGAATTTCATGTTCCATTAGGATTGTTTTAACATTTTTGATCAAATTTGTTTCTAATTTTCAATTTTTTTAAACAGTCCTTGACTTTTGACATGTAATGTTAAAATGCAAAGTTACCGATTTTAATATAGAGAAATGTTTATCAACATGCAAAAATTTGACATAATATACATGCGGCCCCCCAATAGCTTTACATTTGTCAATGTGGCCTCCCTACAAAAAGCTTGACTACCCCTGTCTTAGGTAAACAATGCTTGGTTACACCATTGCACTTTTTTCATAATTGCCTTGAATTGCTGGTAAGATTCCATCATTCAACATTTTTCTATTTATAAAACTATGTATTTTTTTTCACTTTGGCCCAGTTTTCTCTTAAAACTATTATCAAAAGAGGTTGTATTATCTTATACCTTGGAATTCTCTTCTCGAATAATATAAATTGGTCACCCCATGTAAACAAAATTTAAAAAAAAGCCTACTCCACACTTGGTTTCATTCGAGGAAATCTGCGCCACTGGCCAGCATCCTGCAAACAAAATGCCTATCTTGCACTCGTCCCCCCGCTACTAGAATATGGTGCAATCATCTAGGACCCATGCCTAAAGCACAACGTGGACAAGATGGAGGGAATACAACGTATGCAGTGCGCTTCATCGCAAGTGACTACAAATCCACCACTCCTGGCTTTGTCACTGACCTCAATAAAAGATTTGACATCCCCTCCCTCAAAGCTCTGTCTAATATTCCTATATAAAGTGGTCATGGGGCTAGTGCCAGCCATCCCAGCTAACATGTATCATACCCCACAGAAGCCAGGTGGCTTAATCAGAGCCAAACGCTCAATAAACACTGACTTCACCTCTGACAACTCCATGAACAGCTACGTCCAGAAAAATAGTAAATGCTTCACTGTGCCTCGGTGTAACACAGCCCAATATAAACAATCATTCTTCCCACGAAAAATAATTGCTTGGAATCAACTAGACAATGCCGCCGTGGACTCAACATCAATCGAGAGTTTCAAGGTTGCCCTGGCACCCGCTAGGAGCCGTTAGGATAGCCGCATCGTTTCTCAAACCGTTGCACATATGCCAGTACATGGATGCAGCAACGTACTCAGAATCAGACTCAATCTTGTTATGTTTACAACTTTTTAAGGTTAATACAGGGTAAATCTGGATTTAATCTCAGGAAAGTTTAGAGATTTAGAGCAGTAGTTTTTGCCTATTTTTAGCTTACAAAAAGAATTAAGGTATCTAAATTAGCCCCACTTATCTGCATGTCTTAACTGTGGATGTAAAAATGATCATTCGCTTCATGTTTCTCTGAAATGGGATTATCAATGTTTAAGAGTTTTCATTACACTCAAATTAAAGCTGTCATCAATGTATTTTACTGCACATATTCAAGGAGTTAAAATATGACATCAGGGTGTTATTTATATTCAAAGATGTGTGCCAGGTTGGAAAACGACATCCTGGCTTAATGATGCTATGGCTGAAATAAGTTTCACTTTCTAACTTTGTCACCTCATAATCAGACATCAAGGGACCAAAAGGTTGGTTAACATTGCCTTTCAAGTCTATGGACAAAGATACTGTCGAGGGTAGGAGGCTCTTCCTTGAAAAATATCTCAAGGTACATTTTTTTGAGTAATTGTTATTTGCACCTGTGTCCGTCTTAAAAACTTTAAATGTAAAGAAAAGTACAAAAATCATTTTTAATAATAGCTTAAACTATATTTTTATAGAAAGCTTGAAAGCCCTTTAAAGAATGTTGTGAGAACCTTTAAGTCATGTATTTATTAATTTAAATCATTTTATAGCGAAAACCTCCCCACCCTCAAGAGCAGCGGTGCTCAACCTGTGGGTCGCGACCCCATTGGGTGTTGAACGACCCTTACAAAGTGGTCTCCTAAGACCATTGGAAAACAAATATTTATCAAGCAGCAGCGAAAATAATTTTTAGTTGGGGGTCACCACACCAGGAACTGTATTAAAGGGTCGCAGCATTAGGAAGGTTGAGAACCACTGCTCTAGAGGTTATTTAAAATTCTCCCACAAGGGATTACTGATAAGTGCAGTTAGCTCTTAAGATACAGAATCTTTGAAGAAGCTTCAACAGCAATGGCCTCTTATCTTTTGTTTATTTTTTCTTGAAGCAATACACTGGGCTTTGAGAATAGCTTTGATCATACCATATTGTTCTGATTATGAGAGGCACCCTTAATGTTTGGTGCTATTTTTTTAAAGTAAACTTTATATGTTTTTTTTCTTTCCTTACAACATCCTGTTTGTAGGATGCACCCTTAGTTTAAAGACTTACATAAAGAGAGAGAGAGAAGTGCTCAGAACAATTCAGTTTTCGTTCTTTTTTATTAACCAAAAAAGTAATTTTAGTATGAAATTTATTTCGTACTTAATTATTACATTTTTTGTATCCCATTAAATTAATGTCCCTGTAAAACTCTAAAATGTTAGATTTACAATGTAAATAAATGTTCAGTATGAGTGAAAGCATTTTTGGACACTAGTCAATAGAATGATTTGTCAAATTGTCCTTATGCTATATGCACTAAATATTTTTAAGCTGACAACTTAAACAAAAAAGTTGTGGCAAGAAGATTATTACTATTTCAGGACCTTATAGAAATTGAGGCCATATGTAATGGTCCAGATCTACGAGAGTTCCTTGCGTACGAAGGTGATTCTCACATAGCGTTTGTCAAAAAGTCTCCTGACATCACAGTGCCAAGGATTGATAAGGTGAGGCTTGACATGTCATCCACAAATGCTTATGAAATTAATCCTTGAGGTTCACAAAGGAATAAGACTTGACCAAACTAATTTCATTTTAATCTAACATAATCTTGGACATTTTAATTTATTTACTTTGGTCATTCTAACTTGAAAATATTGCTAAAGAAATAATTTTTCATCATGTAAAGAAGTATGTAGATTTTTTTATTGAAGTAATGTCTTCTCCCTCTGGCCACACATAGATGTTTCTGCGAGGCGTATCAGGAGTTGTTGATCGGATCAAAGCACTTCCAAATATCCCACAGGAAGTGATGTCAGGGTTCAGAGGACGAGACACACCAGATGATAAACTTAGCCGCAGCAAGATTCAATGGGATATGGACACTATTGATTTTGTGTCTGATTTTATATCAGAGGAGGTAAAATTGTTAAGTACAGAAAAAAAAAATGTTTCACAAATTCAATTGAATCTTACCTGATACATATACATGTACCTAACAAATAATTAAAAGGAAGAGAAAAAAAAAGAAAGGGTTATTTCAGAGTTAATAATAATGTAATAAGTAAAATTTGATTTTATTTCATGCACATTTAAGAAAATGTTTACCGATGAAAGCATTAGCTGAAATATAAAATTTGTACTACATATTCTATCTTTCAATAAGAGCTTAACTATTCTGATTTTCTACTGTACTTAATATTTTATCTTTCCATCAGAGCTTAACTAATCTGACTACTAATGTACTTTATGTTCTATCTTTTAATTAGAGCTTAACTATTCTGATTTTTAATACACACTGTTCGTGTCTTAGTAATTTAATCAGACTAGTTTTATTTACTGTGTTTTTATTTATTGCCTCTATGGTGAAAATTAATTTCTTCAATGTAATTGAAAGAAGGCTACACCACTTTGAAATTAATAAAATATTGTCAATCTCAAATATGGCAGGAGATGAATGACTCTGGAAATATTCTAGACACAACTTGTGCTCAGCTCCTGGATGATCTAATCACAGATGAAGACAAAGAACTTTTCCTTGTGTCAGATGTCATCTCAGATGTCAAGGTAATTCATTGAGTCAATTGTTTAAAACACAGCATTCATCATCATCAGTAGCGCTACAGCCCATGTAGGACCCTGGTCTGCTCCACCACATCCTTCCGTTTGAAACGATCCATGGATTTCCGCCTCCATGCACCAACCCCAACTGGTGTAAATCCTTCTCTACATCAACGATCCATCTTAGCCTTAGCCGTCTGCCCCTAGGTCCAGGTCGCTATTCGTGTATCATATTTTTGTTCAAGCATGGGTCAAAATCCAAAATTATCAGTCCATTTTAGCTTTCGTAACACTTGATTTTTTACGTGGCAGGGTCATTGCCCTGCGCTCAACCATCTGCGGGGGATGTCCCTTGCAGCTCTCAGGGTAGCTGCCTTTGTATTGGTTCAAGTCCCTGGCCTATATGGATCCCTCCACTTCCTACAAGGCGGTAGGTACTGATTTTGGACACCACCAGAGGGGTCGAGTGGTCTAAACTGAGTGAATCTCAAGTTGGTGGTTTGGGAGTTCAATTCCAGCCAAAGCATGGTCAAGCAAAAAAAACAACCTCACCAGCACCCTGGGTAGATGGGCCCTCGTTAACCTTGGTCGGCAACTCATCTAAGAGAAAGAAACTCTAAATTCAAACCCGGAGATGGTGTCCCCTACAGAAACGTTGAAACGATGAATTTCCGACAACCCCTGCGGCGCCCCGGATGAGAGCGCAGTGAGCATGCTAAAATAGCATGGATACTTAGAGCTATATAAGTATTCAATCAATCAATCAATGTGATTAATTTGTTTAATCTTTCAGGCTTCGGAACAAGCCAAGGAAGTTTACAGACAAGAGATAGAGAAATTGCTTGCTGATATACACACTGCACAGGGTTCTCAAACCACAGGTATTCTGTGGGGCTTTTATTTATTTTTTTTTACAAGAAAATTTTTTCTATGGATTTGTTTACATTTCTTTTCAAACAATTGGCTAGTCTTTGAAATTGGACTTAAAAAGTTGTTGTGTTTCTTTTCCTACACAGATGAAGCAAGTGACCTTGGCTTTACTGTTCTTGAACTACTAGTTTGTGGTCTTGAAAAAAAAGACCACTGGGTCTGTAGGGACAGGGTGGTCAAGTCCATTCAAGCTGTCCTGGGCAAGGCTCTCAACAGGTAAGATGAGTCTGAACTCTGGGTCTCTACAAAGGGAAAATCTGAGCATGTTTTTTTATAATATGAGAAAGGCATTATTGATAACCCCTTTTTTTTTCATCTGTCTGATTTTAATTACATTTAATCTTATCAGGTATCTGGATAGTGCGATTTCTAATTTGACCTCCGAACCCAAAGTCACCCACTACCTCCGACTTCTCAGAGAGACTGTTTGGCCACAAGGGCAGTTAAGGTCCAGCTCTCATCCCAATAAATCCAAAGAACTGCGTGCACTGACCAGATCCCAGGCGAAACGCTGCTTGATCAACTTCTTCCCAGGTATGCAGCCAACCCTTGAAGTTGAATAATATACCTTAAGACATCAAATATTGTTTTCAATCTTTATAAAAAATCCATCAGCTTTTGTATTTTTTCTAATGTTTGTGATGTTTAATGTCACCAACTAATTTTAAATGCAGGACTTAGAAACAGAGTTTTGTTATTTTTTCTTTTAGCTGGGTCATTAGTCACAGGACTCTTATAAATGGGGTTCTTAAACACAGGGATCCATAGCTATTAAAAGATCAACGAAGTGTTGAAATGAAAAATTGTTATTTTCATCAAGATTTTTTTTTAGAGCATTTAAAAAGTTTCATAGTTAAATATTTTTACACTCTCTTGAGAGTCTGAAAAGGTCACGGACAATGGCCTCAGTTTCACTCTGCCTCTGCACTGGCATTCCATTAAGCATTCCTTATTATTCCGTATTTAGCAAGAAACAGTGGTTTAATGGCAGGATCGGAAATGTTTTGGCTATAATGTGTCAGAGTTGGATTTATAATTCATTCAGCATGGCAATAACCTATGTAAAAGTCAACCCGTTTTACCATATAGTTTTTTTTAATGGGATATAACAAGTAAAAATTTTGGTCTTCCCCATGCCAATGGTAATCACTCTGTGTGCCACGTCGGGCATACATGCCATTGGTTGCTAACGCATCAAGTATTACGAGACAAGCCCTCACTTGGAACCCCCAGGGCAAGAGAAAAAGAGGTCGTCCCAAAACGACTTGGAGACGGGAACTGGAGGCAGACACCAAAAAGAGTGGACACAACTGGGGACAGTTGGAGAAACTTGCCCAAGACCGGGATGCCTGGAGAGCCTTTGTTTGTGGCCTATGCCCCAGACGGAACGACAGGCGATGATGATGATGATGACATGGCTACTTATGTAACTGTAAATATGTTCAATGAGCTAAAGATAAAATATTTGTGTTGTGCCAAAAGTGAGGTGTAATTTGTCCAATATTTTCAGAGAGTATCAGACTTGTGATAGGAAGAAATGACTTTGAGGACATGATTGACACATTCCTGAACAGTATTGAAAGTGAGCAGCTAAATAGGTGAGTTAACTCAAAATGCTAGCAAAATGAAAAGTGAACCGTTCAATAAATGTACATGAATTACACCAGGGGGCCTCAAATTTTTTAATCAGGGGGCAGGTTCAATGTCTCTCAGACATTTGGGGGCCAAACTATATTGTGGGAAAAATATGATCAAATTCCCATGCACACTCACATATCTTGTTTGTGGTGCCAAAAAAAAAATACAGTAAAAAAAAGTACAATATTTAAAATGTTTTTAACCCATTCACTACTAACCACTAACACCAAAGCCAAAACACCCCCTGAAATACTAAGCAAAGGGAGATCACTCTCAAAAACACGCACCCCCATGTTAAATAAAAATGTTTTTAAACAACTAAACATCAACTTAAAATGACAAGACATACATTAAAAAATAGAAAATTGGATGAGCTTTTTAAAAATAGCAGATGATTTTGGGCAGGAGAGTCTGCGGCATCTGTTGGTTTGGCACTTTTCATCAAGAGAAAGCTGTTGACCATTGAGAGGTCTATGAGATACCAAAAGACATACCTCCACCACTTCGTGCTTCCTCTGCCTACAGGATAGTAAGCACGATGCTGGTCCGACAAGTCAACACCAAACATACCAGAGTTGTAGTTCACAACAGGTATTGGGATCTCAGTGCCCACCGTTCCATGTTTCAACCTGTATTGAACTGTGGTAACCACTGGGTCAGAATTTGTTGAAAGTATGTATACTTGCCGTTTGTCAGTCCATTGAGTGGCAACCATTTGACCTTTCCGTTTAATTTTGACATTACCCCTCTTCTGTTTTGATTTGGTTAGTGGCCAGCCTTTTCTGTTAGGCTTAATGGTTGCACAGCTGTACATCTTCCTTTGTAGGAGGTCCTCTGCGAGTTTGGGGGAGGAAAAGAAGTTGTCAAAAAAACTTCGTGGTACCTATCCAGGTATGGTCCCATCATGTTCATGATGGTCCCAGTCCATGCTCTGAAGGATTGTTGCTTTTTTCCTGTCTAAACCTGGAAGTTGAGCATATAACTATAACCAGTTTTTGCTTCCGCTCAACACCATATTTCAATCCCCCATGGGGTTGGTTTATTACTCAAATACTGCTTGAAGGACAAGCGACCACAGAATCCAACCATTGCTTCATCCACAGACAGCTGTCGATGTGGTCTGTACATTGTTTGGCATACATTCCTAACATGATCCAATAGAGGCTTAACTCCGTAGAAGGGATCATAGTTTGCGGCGTCCTTGGCTGGAGTTTGCTCACTGTTAGTGAGGTGAAAATACTGTCTGATTTTTTCATAATGGGTGCGCCCCATCACATCTGCAACTGCAGGGACCCTACACAGCTTATCAGCAGACCAATACAATTTTGTGGTTGGCAATTTATGCAATTGGAAACACCCTTCCACTGGGCGTCTTTTTTGCCCTTAGTTGCTTTCTGCTGTTCTGCACATCGGTTTGTTTCGACCACAATCATCTCCACCACAGCATCAGGCACAAAGAGTTTAAATTAGTCAATTGGACTATTGTCAAGATGAAGGTTATGAATTCCACTTATAATTTCATTAAAATTCTCTTATTTGTCCATAACACTGGTCCAATTGTCTGACCAACAATCGGTGACAGCGTCTTCTTCATCACTTTCATCGGAGTTATTTTCCAATTCACTGTCTAAGTCTAGCGAATTTTGATCTATCTCAATATCTGATTCATCCTCATCTGAATTATTTGCAACTGAATAATTAGATGTTGAGGCAGCAATCAATGAGTCTAGAAACTGAAATGCCATTGCAAAACAAATATTCGAAAACACACTTCCAAATTCACTAAAAGTAGCCCGACTTCCACACCCGCAGCTTTCAAACCATAAATGATAGAAGCATCAGTTTTTTTTTTAACGGAAGCAGATTATATTCTTACTTCCTTAAAATCCCAAAGCTATTCGCAAGGCAACAATGCTTCTCGTGATATCGTGTGCTAGGCATCATGGCACATTCTGTCACATTAGTAGCGAGGCGGGTATGTCGCATTTGGTCGCAATAGTAGCAAATGGGTTAATATTTCAATGGGAATAGTGGGCCTTTATTTAGATAGATAGATTGAAAATGTCCAGGCTCCATATTTTTCACTGCTACCTGGGTTCCCAACAGCAGCCAGGCGGGCGGGGCTAAAAACCCCAGGCAGGAATAAGGGCCAGCTGTTGTCTCTGCCAGTGGACCATAGCTTGAGGAACCCTGATTTTACAGCTAAATATTGGATAGTAGCTGTTAAGGGTTTGTATATTCTCGCTATAGGTGGAATTTGTCTATTGTCATTATAAGTGGAATTGGTCAATTCTCATAATTATTGGTGGAATTAGTAAGTTGTGAAGTGAAATTTGACTATTTCACAGGAATATAGTTTATTAATGATGGGTGCCAGGTAAAAGGTATTACTAAATGAATAAAGACACTTATTTCTGTAAGATTGTATCAGTATTTATTTATTAAGTCTCACATGGGTAGCAGTTCTTCAAAGTTTGTGCTTGTACTATTTTAGGCTTCTCCCTTCTTAAGCTAAGCTTCTTGTTCTCCCCAGACATCTCTTGTACCAGATCCTCGACTATTTAATGGAGCAGCTATTTCCTGAAATGGTAAGCCAAGAATTCCTGCATAATCTGTGTTTCAAGTTCAGAACTGACCAGCCACTGTGACCTCTCCGTGTTTTAAGTTCAAAACTGACCAGCCACTGAGACCTCTGTGTGTTTCAAGTTCAGAACTAACCAGCCACTGTAACCTCTCTTTGTTCAAGTGTTCAAGTTCAGTATTGACCAGCCACTGTAACCTCTCTTTGTTTAAAGTTCAGAATTGACCAGCCACCATAAATGAATACTGACCAACTAATCTGAGCCCCTCAGCTGAAATCCCAGTATTAAGGAAGGTATACAATGTATTATATATCCTGCATTTGCTGACTTACATAAAAATTTTGTTGTTTTTTTTGTTATGACTTAATTATATTTAAATCCAGACCATGTTAATTCCAAATCCAGACCATTAATTCTATCTCAGAAAACCAGAGAATAATTTAAATGAAATATTGTCTGAATTCCTTTCCTTAAATTCCATGATTTATTTGTTAAAATGTTTAACAAAATACCTTTCATTTTTATTATTTAAAAAAAAATGTTTTGTATATAAGTAATATTACATAATGAATTTGAATCCTTTTAATTTTAATTAAACATTTCAGAAAATTTGGATTTTTACCAGATTTTCCCTTAATGCTCACAAAGTATAAATTTAAATGTTTATCTGTTATGGGATCTATTTTGACCAGTCATTCATACAATCTCTTCAAGTCCTTCATATTGATCCTGATATGTAAGCAAGAACAAGAGATAACATTTCAAGCCAAACAAAAAAATGCCATTGATTTTTCTCATTGTAGTCAATGCCGGGGATTCCTTAAAAAATATATGCTTTAAAGAAATCTTTCACTCAAGGTGGTCAGCTTTAGTGGCCATGAAATATAACCTAGGCCTACTATATTCACACTCTGTACCTAGACCCTAAACTAAAGTTTAACTCTTTACCTAGACCCTATACCTAGGCCTTCTATTGTGGCACTCTATACCTAGGCTTTATTTCTAGGCCCTCTATAATCACACACCATAGGACAAATTATAATTTGCTACCACTACTGGTGTCCAAGCTCAAAATTTCAAATACATTTAACATGCACAATATATATTATATGTCATTACTTCATTTTTTAACTAATAAAGTGATTCTAGTAAAAAATGTCCACAACAACAGATAGTCTAGATGAAATTAAAGATATTTAATTAATAATCCCACTCGCCCAAGTGCTTTTAAAGCTGCTGTTTTGGCCATCAGCGAACACATGTTTGTACTCCTTTGTACTTGTCAGGGAAAAAAAAAAAGGTAACTCTGGGGGAACAAGGGAAGTAATAACCCCAGTTGCAGTGTCTTATATTTATGCCCTACGTCCAGGCCTTCTATAGTCACACACTACACCTAGGTCTTAAACCTAGACCTTCGATAATCACACACTGTACTTAGGCTCTATACCTAGGCCTTCTAAAGTCACACACTATATTTAAGGGTCTACTCCAGCTGTACTAAAAGACATTGAATTTATTACCCGGTATATCATTGGTTATTGTTCAGTATTTCATTCGTGTCATGAACACACATTGGATATAAATTATTTAGTGACCACTTCCAATGACACATACAAGCTAATGAAATTTTGATGCTACAAAAATCAATTTCTGTGTTGCCGAGCTAATAATCCCGGAGGTGTTAATAATCCAAATGCAGTTTATTTTTCCAACCTTATAAAGTTTCTTGATTAACTTTGACAGTTTTTTTTTTAAATAATTTTTTTGTGATCAAATTGCAAAGTACTTAAAAAATTTTCAGAATCCATGATACAGAATTAATTAATTAATCTAAGATAAAAAAAACAAACTCAGTGACGAACTTGTTCATGTTTTTAAACATATTTCTTTATTTACAGTTTGTTATTTTCTGGTTTATAACACAGATACCTGTATAGCTAATTCGGATCATACCACAATGCCCTAAAATATGATATTAATGATGTAAAATCATTTCTTTTTTCTTATGACATAAGAAAAAATATGATTACAGTTGTGCATTCCTCATATGATAGTAAAATGCAAATATGAATGCTTATTGTTAAAGTTAGAATGCCCTGTAATATTTATTATAGGAAATTTTTGCAATATCAAAACACACAAATTGTAGCAAGAATATGTTTGTATGATTTTTATGATGAATATTTCAGTTAAACAAATCTTAATTGTGGAATGCCGTTAAAAAAAGAAAAAAAGAAGATTAGTCAAGGAGTAAGGGTATTCAATTTTATTTCATATCCTTCAGAGTGTTAATTCTAGGCTTTCAAGTCCTATTGGGCAGACTAATAGTGTTTATTTGTTTTTTGTATGCATGTACTTAAATATCTCCACAAGTTTCATGCCAAATACAACTGCAATGGGCAGAACAGGGATGAAAATAAATCTCAATCTTAATTTAATGAAAAATGTTTTTTTTTTGTTTTTTTTGTGTATTGTGCCAAAATAAAATATGTTTATACACGATTATGGATTGAATAAATAGGGACAAATGTTAACATTCACTTTAAATTTGATAGATGTACAGCAGTGGTCCTCAAAATGTATTCTAATAAGATTCTTGCTTTTGTGACCAAAGTAATAAGAAGTAAACTTGTGTTTACAAAACTTAAAGCTAATTAAATTCTTAACGCTCCCCTTATCACATGAACTGTTGTTTTTTGTTTTCAAATTGATTCTCTATGAATGATCAAAACATCATTACTAGAAAATATTTTTTTTAATTCTAGAAAAGAACATTCCAATTAAATATATTTGTGGGAAAAGCAATATATGTCAAGAAAAATAAATATTTGGGGCTCACATTTAATAATCCACTTAACCATTGTATCTTCATAGGTCCATTTATGGGTCTCCAGGCTGGCGTTTTTCTCCCAGCTTAAGTTAAGATAACATCCAGCATCAGTCATTGCTTTTTTTCAAGTGCATGCTTCTTTCATATGGTCATGTGAACTTAAAGTAAGGCCAGTTCCATGCCTCTGTACATACTTAGATTGTAGCAGGGTAGAGTGTGAAATTAAATATTTTGTACTTTTTCCCTTTTAAAAATACTTTTTTTCTTCAAACTTTTTTGGGAATGTTTAATGGCTTTGTGCAATTTTTTTGAAGGAGTTTTTTTTTCCTATTTATTTGATTTTTTTTAAAAATAAAGTGTTCTTAAAACTAGCATTTTTAAAAAAGATTGATTATGAATTTATTTCCTATTTATTTATAATTTTTTTTAAACCCATGACCTTGACATTGCCTTTTCATTTTGATGGCCTTGTTTGGTTTGACTGCTGTTATTGATGTCTGTCTGCTGATCAGTTAACCCTTGACAAAAACTGTTTAGTAATAAAATTGTATGAAAATAACTCACTTTTTTTTCTTTATGAGCATCTAAATTGTGTCAGTTTAGCATTGTTAAAAAAAAACTGCTACTTTTTTTTGCATGTTGCTAACTGCAGCCATTTTTCAACAGCCATTTAACTTTGGTAGGCAGAGAATGAGATTGCATCATGGCCCTTGATATTAACCTAGGAAAATTATGACATTGTGTTCATTATAAAAGTTAAATGGCTGTGATCTGTTGAAATAAAGAAAGGAACAAATTGATAAGAGAAACTAGCTACCAGTATCTACACGTTACCTTATGCAATTTTTATTCCCATTTTATAGTATCTTTTAAAAACTGAAGTTGTTAATCGTTGTTAATCGTGAATGTCTTTGGCATATTGAATCATGTCACTGAAATATATGTAGACTGTAGTCTACCAAGCCATACCTTGAAATGTCATAATTTCTAGTCATTTGATTGGTGGAAGTGATAATTTATGTACACCCAATCTTTGTTATTTTAGATTGTTATTGTAAATGCAGCCTTTTTTTTCCTTTTTTTTTTTTTTGGGTTAATAAAGCATCGTAGAGTATTATGAATAAACGACACAAAGAATTTATTTTGTTATTTACATTTTGTATTTTTTTATTACATGAAGCTATACGTTTTGTCTTTTAACACTTGTAATTGGTTCTGAGAAAAACAAAAATATCTATATTTTCATTTGGAAGTATTGCAATAACTTTATTTCAACTTTTCCAAATGGTATCAACACAGAAATTTTGGAAAAAAAATTCGAATTGCTTTTTTTTTTTTTTAAGGCTTTTTTTTTTGTTTGGGAAGTTTAAATAGAAAAAAAAAATTGATGGGCAAAACTAATTACTCAAAAACTAAACTCCATGCAACAAAGAGTGCCAACACTGGTTTAAAGAAGATACGCTTAATAAATGTCTTGCACAGACACAGCAACAAGTTAAGACAAGCTCTTTCTTCTAAATTTCCAATATTTTTTTTAAAATTGAAAAAAATAAAAAGATAACTTATTTTAAAATTGTTCGTCTGGATATTTGTAAAAAACAATAACTTGAATGCCAAGCATAAGATGTGTCCACACTCGTACAGCTCGTCAACCAGGCCTCTTCTTCTCACCCGCTCAATCGTCTCTCCTCAAACTCTACTGGCTAAACGTGTGAATGTTAAGCTTTACTTTTCTGTAACACAACCCTTTACTTTTCCCCCCCCCCCCTGAACCCCCCCGCCTCCCCCCCCCCCCCCCCCCCCGGACACACACACACACCTTTCCAAGTCCAAGACATAAACGTGATGTTGTTGTTTTTTTAAACCGCTTGCTTAGCTTAAACCAAATAAACTTGAGCAAATTAATTCCTGGGAGTCTCTTGGGGACCTTGACCTTTGAGCAAACATTGGACTGCATGTGGAGTTTGCATGTTGTCTCCCAGCCATGGGCTCTGTGTCTTGTAGGGACCTTCCAGCTTGGACTATTTTGTCATGGAGGATGTTTTCACCAACACCGCTATTTTACAAGGGCTCAAAGAGATCTCAGTTTTTTGCCCTCAAAATTACAAAGATGTTGAAAAAAAGACTACATGTAAAGCATTTTAAATAAAGGGAATTTTGTTTATAGCTAAGGTAAGTTGATATGTTGTTAAGTGGCATGGAACGTATCAATGAGTTCCTTAAGGATATGGAAATCTCATGAAATTTATATAATTAGCTCAATGGTACTATTATGTAACCTTGTCCCTTGTGATATTAATTAGGTCAATGGTACTATTATGTAACCTTGTGATATTAATTAGGTCAATGGTACTATTATGTAACCTTGTGATATTAATTAGGTCACATTTAACTTATAAGGAAATGGCCTTTTTTTTTACCTGTTCATTTCCTTTATTTTTTTTCAAAACGTGTTTATTTCATTTGAACTTAAACGTAAATTTGTAAACTGTCTGAATAAAACTAGCGACTGTAAGCTCCTATGATTAATGCAAAACTTTTCACTTTTAATCGGATGTGTACAGCTACAGAGATCAGAAATTGAAAGAATTCATGGCTCTTTTTTTTTTTATTATGCTCTTTTTTTTTTTTAAATTTTAGAAGATCAACACCATGAAAGTTTTGCAGAAGTTGGTCAAAAGAGCGACTGTGGCACTAGCCGTCGTACTTGCATCGGCGGGCCTGATTATTTTCTTTTCGGGAACAAAAAGCATTTCGAAATGCAAAACTTTTCACTTTTAATCGGATGTGTACAGCTACAGAGATCAGAAATTGAAAGAATTCATGGCTCTTTTTTTTTTTATTATGCTCTTTTTTTTTTTTAAATTCTAGAAGATCAACACCATGAAAGTTTTGCAGAAGTTGGTCAAAAGAGCGACTGTGGCACTAGCCGTCGTACTTGCATCGGCGGGCCTGATTATCTTCTTTTCGGGAACAAAAAGCATTTCGACACATGAACAGCATTTGGGTGAGCGAGGGGCCTCGGCGTGTGTTTCAGTTCTTGTAGTGCTGTAACTGATTCATGCAGGGTGCAATGCCAGGACACGTTTGATTGATTTCGTGAAACCTCAGAACCTTAAATAAGAGGCCGACCGTAATTTCGGTTTCGGCGCTAAAAGTTGCCATTTCATCACTTTAGGCGAAGTTTCGGTTTCGGCCAAAACAGAAAAGTTAACTTTTGGTTTATTTTCGGTTTCGGTCGAAAGTGACTGAGGCTTTTTGGCCATCTGGCCGAAAATGATTGAGGCTTTCGGTTGTCTACCGTAAGTGAGACTGTCATTATGTCTGTCGGCCTGCAATCATCATTGCTCGACGTCTTGCTGTCATCTGGCTGTCATCGTATGACAAATGACTAATCATCTGCGAACATTGCTCACGGCTACATGATAAACTGCTTGTCCAATATTTCAAAAAATAAAATTACATTTAGGCTTAGGCAATGGTAAATAGTTTGGGTTTATCTTAACTTAGGGAATGTAAATTTTTTATTTTTAGTTGGTTCGTATTCTCCATCCATATTCATCCTTTGTTAGTCCATATACTTTCAGGAGAACTTGTGTTTAGTAGGTTTTCTGTCGTTTTTGTTAGGGTCCAAGTTTCACTTGCGTATGTTACAACTGGTCTGATTAAAGTTTTGTTAATAGTTTTCTTTGTTTTTTTCTTTTAATGCTTTTAATTTTGAGTATTTTCTGACTACTGAAGTATGCCCTGTTTCCGGTCGATATTCTTTCTTTTATTTCTGTTAGTAATTCATTTCTTCCATTTAATAAAGATCCTAGGTATTTGAGTAGATTTACTTTTTCAAAACCCTGGTTTCTAATGTTAATGGTTTCATATGTCTGTTCTTCTCTTATCATAGTCGTGTATTTTTTTTTTTTTTTGGTTGTTAACTTCCAGTCCTGTTTGAAGTGATGCGTTTTCTAATTCAATAAAGGCTTTTGATATATCTTTACTACTTTTTCCCAACAGTGCTATATCATCAGCATATGCAAGATACTGAAGGGGTTGATTGTAGTGAGTGCCTATTGGTTGTGGGTCTTGGGTCTTCCACATAAAGTATCCTGTTATTGTTACTCGGGTGTCAACGATATTATTTTATGACATACGGAGTGTTAATTTCCAAATTATTGGTTGTTGACTTTTTCAATTTAAAACAAAAATTAATTAAAACATAACGTTTGAAAACTAGAGACGAAAGGTTTGAACTGAACTATTTCTTTCTCCCCCAACCACCCCAGCTCTAGATGCTAGCTCCAACAGATCGAGGGTGACGAAATTGTACTTTGTACAAGGCACATCGAGCAGCGAGTTCCTGAGGAGGAGACACAAAGTCCGAGATGCCTGTCTCCCAGGGAATCATCTGCAAGACCTACCGAGTGATGTCCAGCATGTGCTGACCCATGGCGATTCGGGTGTGATTTACTGTATCGTCCCTAAAGCTGGTTGTACTTTCTGGAAGAGAGTTTTTTCTTTTCTAAATGATAAGGTAAATACAATAATTTTCCCATTTCTTATAATGACAATGACTGGGATTTTGTACGGAAAATAAGCTGGTTTCCTTTTATAAAACTAAACATCGAGCGTGCGTTGCTCAAGTAGCCGTCAACAGCAAAGAAAAGAGGGACAGAAAGATAAACTTAGCAGATGGAAGGCATTATAAACAACGAAGTTTTCATTGAGTCAATGTCATACCACCTGGGGGATTCCATCTCCTGATATTGGGGTAGACTCCTTTCGTTTAAAAATAAGTTTCCTCATCCAATGTTAATGAGCCCCATCTGCTTGTTTTAGTTCCAGCTCTGCTTTGAACTCCAGGCAATCAGGTATTTTTTTCTTTATACTGATAAGGTAGAGAAAAAGTTATAGAACATTCTTAAAAACAAGATGCATTTTTTAAAGGAAGGTTTTTTTGTGTTGTTTTTTTAACATTTTTTTTTACTTATTTATTTATTATATTATATTTTTTAAAAGGATTATGAAGTTAGAGACAATTATTTATTTTTTTAAAATTTGCATGCAACTAATGTCTTTGCATCTTCAAATTTCTGGCAAATATTTAAAAAAAATATATTATGCTGTCAGTGAATGTAAAAAAAAAAAAAAAAATGAATGATAATAAAACCTGTGTGATCACATTAGACTGGAAAGGGAAATAACTTCATATCTGTTATATATATTGTGAATTATTTATTTTTTTAAAATTTTCATGCAACTAATGTCTTTGCATCTTCAAATTTCTGGCAAATATTTAAAAAAAATATATTATGCTGTCAGTGAATGTAAAAAAAAAAAAAAAAAATGAATGATAATAAAACCTGTGTGATCACATTAGACTGGAAAGGGAAATAACTTCATATCTGTTATATATATTGTGCTTCTGGTACATACTGCTTGCTCTTCAAAATCGCTCCCCTCCCCATGCCACATGTTTTATTGTAATAGTACTGAGTGAAATAAAAAAAAGGCTGTCACACAGCGAGCTTCTTGCGCACGGAAGGTCTGAACAGGAACGGACCCGACTGTTGATGGCGCCCCGGGCAAGCTTAACTTGGGCGCCCCTTTTAAGTATTATCTTACAGATTTTTGCAAGGAATAAACTAGGGGTTTGAGTAATGAGTTTATTTACCCAGGTTGTTTTTTTTAACAAAGAATGAACAAACATTTTTTTTTCTTAACTGGTATTTGGAGAGTATGAACAGGTAGCCTAACCTGGTATTTGGAGAGTATGAACAGGTAGCCTAACCTGGTATATTGAGAGTATGAACAGGTAGCCTAACCTGGTATTTGGAGAGTATGAACAGGTAGCCTAACCTGGTATTTGGAGAGTATGAACAGGTAGCCTAACGATGCCATTTTTTCTAGCCTTCAGATCAGCAAAGCTTTTTATTGCCTTTTCTATATTTATATTATTTGCAATATCATTTTCTATAGACAAAAGTGTCAGAAGAAGTCATACTGTCTTGAGACATGAATGATTGTAAATAGGTTTTTAAATCCTTTATATTAACTTCGCTTTTGTTCGTCGCTGGTTCGCTGGGTGGCGGACTGGCAAAATCTTCGGACGGCGAATTGACCCACTTCCCACCAATCCATCGAGCTGAAACTTGGCATATTGACTTATTGCCGATGAAATACATTCTTTCGAAATTTGAGCCCGACCCCCCCAAACAGGAACCGAGTAGTTTCTCAAAATACACTAAAGAGGTGTATACAAAAACAACAACTATACCCGTTTAAGGCCCTAGTGTTCTTCATTTCCTTTCTGATTTCACAACCTTTATATTTACAATTACTAAAGTAACGTTATAAAAATAATAAAACGTCTTATATAGCGCGGTACCCCAGCCTAGGGCTGGGCTCACCGCGCTGTACATAAAATTTTTTATCAAAAAGAGACATAATCATGACATTAAATAAAATACATTTATGAAATAAAGAACAGCAATGGATATTCACCCACCCCACCACATAACTTTTACAAGGCAAACCATGGACGACAGCCAGCAAGATCATTTATCGGTCAGAGGAGGGGAATCAGTCAGGGTAGTATAATTTAAAAAGATACGTTTTGAGTGCAGTTTTGAAGGCCTGGGTGGTTGGTATATTGCGTATGTGTAGTGGCAAAGAATTCCATTGTTTGGGGGCGCAGAAAGAGAAAGAAATATAAACATTGAACTAAAACATACATTGTAAGTTGTTATTTACCACCGACTCTGTCTTTGTATATTTTAAGTGAAATATTATGGATTCCATTTTTTCTTCAATTCAGAGTATTTTAACTTCTTAAATATTTGCGCTATTTTGCTTTGAAACGTGTCAACCGGTATGAAATAATTAAGCTAATTAATCCTTGAAAAATCATGCATAAAACTGCCGTGCACTGCACACCTAGTTAGACTTGAAGAAGCACTTTTATTTACATTTCATTGCACACAAACATATCAACAGCTCCTAAAATGTGGACACCAAAATTCCTAAAAATTTGACACCCAAATTCCTAAAATGTCGATTGCAAAATTCTTAAAATGTTAGCACCGAAATTCCTAAAATGTTGACACCGAAATTCCTAAAATGTTGACACCGAAATTCCTAAAATGTAGACACCGAAATTTCTAAAATTTTGCACACTCGTTGACTCAGAATTGATATTGGACCCAACATTGGTTATAATCATAACTTCCGCATTATGATGTCAATGAGACTCTGTAACTAAGCAATAGACTTTGTCATTTCGGAGACCGCAGAACCTCACATCGCTTTACGTAATGTTACTATTTTTAGATACTGTTTTCGTGAAACATAGCTTCTGACAATGTATTCCCGTATATATATATATATATATATTAACAATAACAATTTGTTTGTGAAATCTTTCGTAAAATAAAGCAGTAAACTTGCTGGCTCACATTAACTTAGAAATCCCTAACAGCTGTTGAGAGATTGGCCATACGAAATACCACGTGCCTGATCCCCCAAGAGCTCTCCAGGATGAAAATTTTTTTTTTTATTTTTTTCCTTTTTCAGAACATTACTAGACCCTTAGATACTATCTTCTCTATTCCACGTCTGCTGGTCCACCAGCAAGGTCAAGGCGAACCTTTTCAACATTACATCCACAATCCTCACAAATACCTTACCCGGGTGATGGTCAGCAGAGATCCTCTGGCTCGCATTCTGTCATCCTATCTTGACAAGTTCTATCTGCCTGATTTTTGGGAGAGCTACGGCACGACCTTCATGGAACAGGTCACTGGGTTTGCCAGGATGAATTCAATGAGAGAGCCAGTTAGAACTGGCATGGATTTTTCACATGCTAAACTTAGTAACTCTTGCTCGTGGATACGAAATAAGTTGAATTCTTCAGTTTCAGTGCCAAACGCCAAACAAATTAACGATAATACGGTTACGGCAGACGATTTTATGAGAAAGCACTTTGATGATATGGCCAACAGATTCTGGCCAAAACATGGAACCGGAAGCTTTCAAACGGGATCCTCAACGTACCAGGATACGCGCTGCGGGAAATATTTGACCTTCTCCGAGTTTGTGCTCGCCAGCATGTACGAGGAGGAGCCCCACTGGCAGCCGACGTACCAGGTCTGCAACCCTTGCCAGTTCGAGCCCACGCACGTCAGCTACATGGAGACTTTCAACGCAGACGCCAAGGTCGTCCTCGGGTCCATGGGGCTGAAGGACTTAGTGGACCAGCTGGACCCAGTTTCACAGGTGACGTATCACTATATCTCGTTTTTTTTGAGCTTGTTCTTCAGGGCGATTTAGTCCGTGTCTTGAAATGTTAAAGCAAAGGAGTCGTCGTTGTTCTAGACTCAATCCATAGTAACTAGTTGAAACATTTCAATGCGCTTTTGTGTTATGAGTTGGAGTGGTGTTGTCGTTTTTTTTCAAAACATTAATTTCTGGTTATTTTTAAAAAAATCAATGTTGAGCAACCAAAATGATTAGTGAGGGGGGGGGGTAATTTTACATTAACTTTTTTCTCCGCGCAACTTCAAGGTCTCTGACATACAAGGGTGGTTAAACCCCCATCTACTGCTTTGATGTGCTCATCTCAATCTCATTATGACCCTCATCTATATCAATGATGCTTTGTTTTTCATCCCTTTCTAATACTTAATAACGTAGTTATATTACCCATCGCCATGCACATCGCAACTTTCACCGTTACTAAAACCCACATCATGGATATCTTCATATCCACATCGTGTTATATTTTATATTTAAATCAATTTTTTCCTTCTATATTTGAGGGGCCCACGATCAATTTACTGATCATTCTGGCTCCTGGTTTGAATTCAGAGTTTAGCCTTCTCTTAGAGGAGTTACCGTCCAAGACTAAAGAGTCCCATCCACATATCAACACCATGTTATGTTTAATATCTACATTATGTTGTAATTCATATCCACACCATGCCTAGTTTCATATCCACACCATGCCTAGTTTCATATCCACATCATGTCTAGTTTCATATCCACACCATGCCTAGTTTCATATCCACACCATGCCTAGTTTCATATCCACATCATGCCTAGTTTCATATCCACATCATGCCTAGTTTCATATCCACATCATGCCTAGTTTCATATCCACATCATGCCTAGTTTCATATCCACACATGCCTAGTTTCATATCCACACCATCAGGTTAACGAGGAGATCTCCATGCTGGTTGAGTACCACTTCAACAACGTGTTCAACGGACCTGGGAGTCACTTCTATTCCACGTGCCTGACCCCCCAAGAGCTCTCCTACCGTTTGTGGAGCACATTCCTATGGCAGGGATACATACATCCCTTGGCCGTGTACGATGTACCGGATTTTCACGATGTGTCCAGCGTCAAAGAAGACCTCTTGGCCCAGATTAGGCAGGCCAGGTACTTGGGTCTGAAAGATGAACACGTTATGGAGAAAGCCAAAAGGCTTTTTTCAAGAAAGTTTTTTACAACTTTAACCGCGGAAGCGTTGAAGGAACTGTTCATCAAATTTCGAGTCGATTTGAAATTATTTCACCGTGATAAAGACATTGATGGTTTCAATTGTTTGTTTTCAATTTAAGTTTTTTTGTTTTTGTTTTTTTTTAATAATAGTGCATGAAAGCATCATAACTTCAAGTGCTTTTCTTGTACGGATTATTATTTACTGATCCTTCATAAATGTTTTGCGTTATTTTGTGTGTTTTTTAAAATAATTTTATTATATCTTTATATACATGTATGTGCGTGTGTGTGTGTTTATTGGTGGAGTGGGGGGGGGGTCGGTCATCTATCTAGTTTAACAATAGAGGTGCCGCAGGTTTCTTTAAGCACACAAATCCATGTTCAGATATAAGTGTAGTAGTAGGGGCAAGAGCAGATTCAGCTCAAAATCGTTCAGTTTTAAGACTCGTGTCATTATTCAACAAATGCATACCTTTTGCAAACCATATGGTCTGTACAAGGGACACACAATTCAACACGACTCACCTCCCGAAAGCAAAGGCTCCAACGTTTGCGCCAAAGTTGACGGCACAAAGCATAGAGAGAATTAAGAAATGCTTTTAATCTATTTCATGAGTGCAGAATTTTAAAAAAAACTTGTTTTCATTAGAAGGTCATTGTATTTCAGCACTGTATTTTTTTTAAAAACGGAGTCGAAAACGTCTTTGTTTCGAGGTGAGTGTCGTGAACTAGATTTAAGGGTGGGAATGATTGGTGGGGAGGGGGGAGTTGTTGATCGTGAGGGGGGTTTTGTGAGTTGTAGGTCGTGAGGTTAGATCGTGGGGTCAGAACGTGGGGTCAGATCGTGGGGTCAGACCGTGGGGTCAGACCGTGGGGGCAGACCGTGGGCAGACCGTGGGGCCAGATCGTGGGGTCAGATCGTAGGGTCAGATCGTGGGGTGAGTTCATGGTTTTCTGAGTGTAGGCTGAGTGCTCATTGTGTAGAGAGGATTTTAATAAAAAAGGTGGTGTGTTAAGTAATGTTAAGAGTTCGGGAGTTGGTTAGCGTGATGGTGCAAGTGGTTAGTTGTCGAGAGTAAGATCAGTTGGTTAGCCTGATGGTGCAAGTAGTAGTAGTCGAGAGTAAGATCAGTTGGTTAGCCTGATGGTGCAAGTGGTAGTTGTCGAGAGTAAGATCAGTTGGTTAGCCTGATGGTGCAAGTGGTAGTAGTCGAGAGTAAGATCAGTTGGTTAGCCTGATGGTGCAAGTGGTAGTTGTCGAGAGTAAGATCAGTTGGTTAGCCTGATGGTGCAAGTGGTAGTTGTCGAGAGTAAGATCAGTTGGTTAGCGTGATGGTGCAAGTGGTAGTTGTCGAGAGTAAGATCAGTTGGTTAGCCTGATGGTGCAAGTGGTAGTTGTCGAGAGTAAGATCAGTTGGTTAGCCTGATGGTGCAAGTGGCAGTTGTCGAGAGTAACATCAGTTGGTTAGCCCGATTGTGCAAGTGGTAGTTGTCGAGAGTAAGATCAGTTGGTTAGCCTGATGGTGCAAGTGGTAGTTGTCGAGATTAAGATCAGTTGGTTAGCGTGATGGTGCAAGTGGTAGTTGTCGAGAGTAAGATCAGTTGGTTAGCGCGATGGTGCAAGTGGTAGTTGTCGAGAGTAAGAGCAGTGCCTTTGTTATAGGGTTGTTTCCATAAAAAAAAGTATTCTTGAACCTGTTGCTCGTCCTTGTAAATAAAGAGCTGTAATATTTTCATCCTGGAGTTTGTGATTTATATTGTGATTGTATCCCCTAAACAACGCTGTGTCCACTCCCCCTTTGTAAACACAGCTACTCTAACGTAGGGAAGTCCAGGGAAGATCGTACCAATGAGGTCTAAGAATGAATGTGAGAGATATTACGGTGGGGAAGTCGTTTGTATGTATTTATTTTTTTAAATGCTACAGCCGGCCCCAACATTGTCTGAAGGACAGTGAACCGGTTGCAATAGCATAATAGTATTTCAATGCTCAAGTCTGTGGTCTGGGTGACAACGGACTTTATTTTCAATCTTACATTATGTGTATACACAAACAAAACTTGGCTGCTCTGTCCAGTTATCCAACCAATATTTACACGTATTCACTTTCTTGAAAACACTTCACTAAGACCAACCAGACAACACGACAACAACACTGAACACTCAGGTCACTAAGTACAGTCAGTACACACGACAACAACACAGAACAATCAGGTCACTAAGTACAGTCAGTACACGCGACAACAAAACTTGTTTGTCAAATAGTCACTGTCATACAGGCCCACTGTTTAAAAAGTTTGAGGACTCCTGCTGTTAAAGGTATGGGGCAAGGGTTCTTTTTTTTCTTCCAATGACCTATTTTCCAATCAGGTAAAAGCCATTGACCCCTTCTTGGGAATAAAGTTTTAAATGTTTGTAATAACAAAGAAAGAGAGGAAGGCCAAAGAATACATGGAGACGCGAGCTAGGGCAGACACGCAAAATATGGGATACACCTGGAAGCAACTGGAAAGGAAAGCATGGGACCGTGATGAATGGAAAATTCTTATTGACGGCATATGTCCCAGACGGGGTAAAAGGCATAAGAAGAAGAATAAATTTACAAAGGAAATGGAAGACACCTTTTCACAGGCACACAATGGGGTCCGTGGCCCTTGGGTCATAATATAAGAACCCCTGAAATGTGTTAAGCGGGTCTTTTGATAGAACAGGCTGTGTGGCGGAGGATAGTGAACCCTAACCTTTTGCTTCTCATTTGGTCCCCTTCTTCTTTCTTCATTATTGTTGTGGCATTGAAAGAACAGGCTGTGTGGCGGAGGATAGTGAACCCTAACCTTTTGCTTCTCATTTTGTCCCCTTCTTCTTTCTTCATTATTGTTGTGGCATTGAAAGAAATGAAGTAACAGCGTGAATGTACTTAAGCGTGAAATGCTCTAAAGTAAGGGTGGAGGGGGGGGGGGAGTCAGAAGGAAAGGGTAATGTTTTCTGGGGTGGGTTGGGCTTGGTGTGGGTGAGGCTGGTTCCATCAGAATACGCGCCAATAGGAGAGGGAAACAGTGGAGACAGTGGCGTTCCTAAGGGTGCGAAAGGGACAGCTTGAATGTACTTAAGCGTGAAATGCTCTAAAGTAAGGGTGGAGGGGGGGGGGAGTCAGAAGGAAAGGGTAATGTTTTCTGGGGTGGGTTGGGCTTGGTGTGGGTGAGGCTGGTTCCATCAGAATACGCGCCAATAGGAGAGAGAAACAGTGGAGACAGTGGCGTTCCTAAGGGTGCGAAAGGGGGTGACAACCCCGAGCTGCACTTTTGGTTACATGTATAACATATAACATAACTTTCCTTTAAGTGTATGAGCGTGGGCGTGGTCAGTGTTTAAATTTTGGCGTGGCAAGTGTTTTTTAAATAATGCGTTTGATAAGGGTGTATATAGGAGCATGGTGAGCAGTGTTAATATATGGGCGATGTCGTGTGTTTATAGAGGAGTACGTCTTGTGTTTATAGAGGAGTACGTCTTGTGTTTATAGAGGAGCGTACCAAAGTGTTGTTTTTTTATATATATGAGCGTGACTTGTGTTTTTAAGAGACAGTCGCCCATATAATAAGTTCTTTTCGCTTGCCAGCACTCCTCACAATAAATGAACGCTCTCCTCGTGACCTGGAGGACAACTAGGTGCCGCCTCGTGACACAGTTTAACCGGACATGGTTCACTGACATCAAGCTTTGCCGTCACGCCCAGACATACAAAAAAAAAGAATTATGTTTGGAAAAAGGGGGTGACGAACTCAGAGGACAAAAGAGTGGAATGAAGCAGGGCGCCACGCCTGCTTGCTTCTGTTTTCGAGGACCCAGAAAGTACATCAGTGTGGACAATGGAGCGCGACACCAACGAAAGTTGATGAATACATAAAACAGGCCGAGGGATATTTATTTGAAATGTAGGTCCATGACAAATACTTCCTCATAAAAGTCATTAGTTTGAAAATTTGTGGTACGGCGTCCAGTCTGGCAGTAAATATAGCGTTCCTGTACAGCAGGGGTCTCAAACTCGCGGCCCGCGGGCCATTTGCGGCCTGCAAGACGCTATTTTGCAACCAGCTCGATGACAGCGAAGTTTAGTGTTAATGCGGCCCGCGTGTTTCCCCATTTTCCTATAGATGATGTCAACCTCCGGCGACGGTTTCAGTCGAATCTCACAGACTAGTTCACTAATTCTGATGTTTATTATGTTTGTATAGATTTGGACGTTGATTATAATGGTAAAGGTAAAACCCCGTTTTAATATAGAACTCAACGTTTTTATTTTGTAGCATTTTATGAGATGAACAAGTCAGTCAGTGGGTCATGCACAACCATAATTGTGTGAAACGTAGGAATCTGACACAGTATCAAAGAATCCCTATTAAAATGTCCGCCAGTCTTTACGTGTGAGGGAAATTCCGAGTCTGACAGCGTGCCACTTTCAAAATAGGGTTAGTCAAAAAGGCCTTGTACACAAACAAACAAACAAAAAAAAAAATTAATTATCCCTACAATAGTGTCTTTCTTCGCATTAATAATTGGTCAATATTTATATTGGCCTGCTTATCTTCTTAAACAAGTTTTAGCCTTCAACGCCATCATGGAGAAGGATGGGGTGGTTGTTCCTGTAATAAGTGATCCCTAATGGTCCACGGAGTTGGCTTTTTTCTTGTTGACATTACACAGGAGCTGAATGAACTGAACAAGAAGTTACAAGACCAGGGGCAGCTTGTCAGTGGTGCCAATGACAATGTCATGGCATTCTGCACAAAACTTGTGTTATTATTCTTAGAGAAACGTTTGCCATTTCCCAACATGCAATGTCTCATGGACTCGGGCACACTCTTCAGTAGTAAGCACACTGATGCAATTGTAAAGCTACCGGAAGAATTTGATCACATATTTTATAGACTTCAAAACAGACAGAGCGACTTTTCAATTTTTTTTCTGCCCATTTCTCCTTCAATTTGGAAGATGCACCCCTCCCCAGCCACTTGCGCTTCAAACGGAGCTAATCGATCTTCAATGCAATTCTAAGTTCCAAACAGACAAGCATGGGTAATTTATGAGAGCATTGCCCTCCAACTTCCCTGAGATTTCCAGGTTGTTCAAGAGGATCATGTGCCTTTTTTTGGGGGGGGGGGGGGGGATTACATATCTGTGTGAAAAGCTCTTTTCCACTATGAACTTTAACAAGTCAAAGTTTAGGACGAAACTTATTGATGAGCATCTTCAAACTATACTGAGGGTCTTAGTTGCTTCTCCGAGAACCCTTAATATTTTTGTTCGTTTGTTATTAATAAAGGTTGAGCAGTTTGTAAGAGTTGTACTTATTGAATCTGTAATCAATATTTTTTTCTGTAATACTTGATGTGGCCCAGTCTCACTCAGACTCTACCTCGTGCGGCCCCCGGATGATCTGAGTTTGAGACCCCTGCTGCACAGAAACGATTCGGCACCAGGGCCGGCCTAACCTATTTGGGGGCGCGCCAAGCAGTTCTAACATTTGGCGCCCCATATTTTATTTTCAGGTCGGTATCAATTTTAAAAGGTGCCGCTGGAGAAGACAGTAGTTAAGAGTCCTGAAACTACCATCCGACTCTTGACAACCAGGCATAAGACAATCAAACATAATTATTGTTAGCATTTCATATATAGAGACAATTAAAAACGAATCTGTTTGAACTTAAAATGACTATTGAAAAAGTGACGCTTAACCTTAACCCTAACTCTAACTCGAAACACTAACAATAACTCTAACCCTAACTATGAACAAGAAAATATTAATACTTTAAGCTTTTGAATTTTAAAAAAAAAAATCATTTGGCATCTCGTTGTCTATTATTCAAGCAATTCCCCCCCCCCCCCCCCCCCCC